TTATATTTTTCCTTTATATATACTATAAACGCTGTAATACATTGTTAAGTTTTATTTTAAAACATCAATAATTTAAAATAAAATTTTAAATATGCTTAAAATGTGAAGTTTTTTGGAAAGCTTTTCTTTAAACTACATATTTACCCTTTCTAGCACTCTCCATTCCTTCCTGCACATGTTGGGTTTCATCTGATATCATTTCCCCTGAGCCTGAAAAACTTATAATACAGACCGGGCACGGTGGCTCACACCTGTAATCCTAGCACTCTGGGAGGCCGAGGTGGGCCGATTGCTCGAGGCCAGGAGTTCAAAACCAGCCTGAGCAAGAGCGAGACCCCGTCTCTACTATAAATAGAAACAAATTAATTGGCCAACTAACATATATATAGAAAAAATTAGCCAGGCATGGTGGTGCATGCCTGTAGTCCCAGCTACTCGGGAGGCTGAGGCAGCAGGATTGCTTGAGCCCAGGAGTTTGAGGTTGCTGTGAGCTAGGCTGACGCCACGGCACTCACTCTAGCCTGGGCAACAAAGCGAGACTCTGTCTCAAAAAAAAAAAAAAAAAAAAAAAAACACAACTTATAATATAGGCCTGCTGGAGACAAATCTCTCAGCTATTGTTTGTCTGAAAATGTCTTTATTTTGCCCTAATTTTTGAAGGATGTTTTCACTGGATATAGAATTCTAGATTTAGTTTCTTTTTTTAGTATTTTGTGTTCCATTTTTATCTATTGTCCATTGTTTCTATGAAAAGTTATCCATGGCTTCCTATATTTAGTGTGTCTCTTTTTCTTCCCTAACTGCCTTTTAAAATTTGCTCTTTGTCTTTGTTTCTCAGTTCTTTAATTATTATGGGCTCCAATGTTTTCCACTGGGGTTTGCTCAACTTCTTGGGTTTATAGGTTGATGTCTTTCATCAACTTTTATAACATTCTCAGTCATTACCACTTCATACATTTCTTCTCCATTCTCTCTTTCTCCCTTCCTTCTCAGACTTCAACTACACATATATTAGACAATTCGATATTGTTCTATAGATCTTGGACATTGTTCTGTTTTAGTTTTTTTTTTTTTTCTTTACTATTTTTTCCTCAGTTGAATAGTTTCTATTTCCTATATTCAAGTTCATTGACTCTTTTTTTCCTGACATGTCCAGTTTGCTGTACAGCATATCTAATGACTTCTTTTCTGATATGATACTGCTTATTTCTAACTTTTCCATTTGATTCTCTTTTAAAAATAGTAGACTCCATGTCTCTGCTAAATTTCTATACCTTTTTTACTAGATTGTCTAGCTTTTTAAAACAATTATTTTGAATTTCTTTCCTGATCACTTCAACATCACAGCCACCTCTGGGTCTGTTCTTATTGCCCGTTTCCTTTCTTTCCTTTCCATCAGTCATATTTTCTTGCTTCTTGATGTGTCTTGTAATTTTTGATTGCTCTCTTGTGACTTTCTATATCTTAACAGGAAGAAGTCTGTAGCTTCCCTTTTTTTTTATTTACCAGTAAAACATAAACACTTTTCCATGCTATTATAAACTCTTGCTAATCATCGTTTCTAATGGTTGCAAAATATTTTATTTGATCATTCTTTTGTTGTTAGACATTTAGTTGGCTTCCAATTTTTCTCTCTTTGATTGCATATTGGACGATATGTATAAAAACAGTGACAAATGAAATAAACAATATTTTTCTCTAGAAAAATGAATGCCCTTTTTTGTGTCAGGCCACTAGAGCTGGGGGCTGAATCAATGTGTTCAATAGTTGAGCTGGAGCCGGGCGCGGTGGCTCACGCTTGTAATCCTAGCTCTCTGGGAGGCTGAGGCGGGTGGATCATTTGAGTTCAGGAGTTCAAAACCAACCTGAGCAAGAGCGAGACCCCGTCTCTACTATAAATAGAAAGAAATTAATTGGCCAACTAATATACATAGAAAAAATTAGCCGGGCATGGTGGCGCATGCCTGTAGTCCCAGCTACTCGGGAGGCTGAAGCAGCAGGATTGCTTGAGCCCAGGAGTTTGAGGTTGCTGTGAGCTAGGCTGACCCCAGGGCACTCACTCTAGCCTGGGCAACAAAGTGAGACTCTGTCTCAAAAAAAAAAAAAAAATAGTTGAGCTGGGACGGGGCTTTGTCTCATCTTTAGTTTGACCTAGTTTGCCATTGTCTCTAAATGTTTTGATGGTGGAAGTAGGACTTTCTCTTCTGCAGGGCTGGAGATCTGTGCAATAGGAAGTTTCCAGATATCTCTTTGTACTTTACAGCTGGGTTATTAGTTCTGTAAATGATGGGTGATCTCTTTCTGTTTCACAGTTTGTCTGTCAACTTTTGGAGCTATTGAGTTCTCCTCTTTGTTTGCCAGTACTGGCCTCAGATTTCTGTACCTTAGGAGGTATCATGTTTCCCCGAAAACAAGACCTACCCATAAAATAAGCCCTAGCAGGATTTCTAAGCATTTGCACAATATAAGCCCCGAAAATAAGCCCTAGTGATGGCCGTGGCTACGCAGCGTATCTGCACAACCCATGCATTTTGTGGAGGAGCTGTCAAGAAGGCGAGCAGCTCTTCTCATCTGCCCCATTGTGACAGCTACTATCCCAGAGGTGACCAGAAAGGTGCCAGCAGCCCCACCAACAAGGTTGGTTCCCCCTGTCAGGTCCCGGCCATCCTGTGCGTGCTGCAAGCTGAGGCTTTGAGGGGAAAATAACACATCCCCCGAAAATAAGCCCTAGGGTGTCTTCTTGAGGAAAAATAAACAGAAGACCCTGTCTTATTTTTGGGAAAACACGGTATCTGTCTGTCTTACTGTACTGCTAACAGTTTTTCAAGGATGGTTGCCTACCACTCTGTGAAAACCTGGATTGCTTAAGCAGGGCTTCTCTCTCAGCTCTCTTTCTCCTCCTCCAGCATTTGGAACTGGAAAATGCAGGTATTTAGGTTGGACTTCCATTAGCTCTCCTGCTCTACTCCTCTCATTCCAAGGGCAGCTACTTTGAAATGGCAGAAGCTTTGTACACCTGAAAGGTACCTTTCTCAGTTCTCCTATCCTGCCCAGTCACAGGTGTGCTACCCTCCAGCATCCTGTGAAGACTCATTAAAGGAGTCAGTAGATTGGTACACACTTACTATGTGTCCGGGGCTCCTTTGAATTCTGACCGCCATGCCCAACCACATAGGACTGTTATATTTGTTAAGTTTTGGCTGGCTTCTGTTTGGTTAGTTTTTTTTCTTTTCTGATATCATACTGTTTAAAGTTCTAACTTTTCCATTTGGTTCTTTAAAAAAAAAAAAAAAATAGGCCAGGTGCGGTGGCTCACGCCTGTAATCCTAGCTCTCTGGGAGGCTGAGGCAGGCGGATTGCTCAAGGTCAGGAGTTCGAAACCAGCTCTGAGCAAGAGCGAGACCCCATCTCTACTATAAATAGAAAGAAATTAATTGGCCAACTAATGTATATAGAAAAAATTAGCCGGGCATGGTGGGGCATGCCTGTAATCCCAGCTACTCGGGAGGCTGAGGCAGAAGGATTGCTTGAGCACAGGAGTTTGAGGTTGCTGTGAGCTAGGCTGACGCCACGGCACTCTGGCCTGGGCAACAGAGTGAGACTCTGTCTCAAAATAAATAAATAAAATAGATTTCATATCTCTGCTAAATTTTTCTATCTTTGCTGCATAGTGTCCGCATTTTTTTTACTAGATCATCTAGCATTTTAAAATAATCATTGTAAAGTTCTTGTTTAATTTTCCATCAGAGCCTCCTGCCCTGTAAGACAGAGTCCTCTTATTCCCAGTGTCAGCAGGGAGAAGAGCAAACATGAACCCTTTCTCTTCTGTGCAGGCTTGTTGCTTTCTGAAGTTTAGTTCACTTAGGTTTCTTTGCATCCTCGGCTCTCTGGTAAGTTTTAAAAATATTATTTTATATCTATTAATCTGTCTTGTTTTAGTTGTTAGGATGAGGTGCTAGTCTCTTGTGACTTTCTTCATCCTAATAGGAAGTCTGTAGCCTCCTTTTTCCACTTAACATCAAAATGTAAACACTTCCCCATGTTATTATAAACTCTTGCTAACCATCATTTTTAATGGTTGCAAAGTATTTCAGTGAATAGGCTAATTACTCTTTTGCTGTTAGACATTTCATTGGTTTCCAGTTTTTCTTTCTTAAAAATGATGTTTCCATGGACAACCAAAGAAAACACCATTTTTAATCAACCATCCTAATCATGCATGGTGGTGTACCAAGAGAACTGCATTGTTCTGAAAATTCAGTAACATATTCTGGGGGAGCAGAAACTAGATGCTTAGTAAATGCAGCTTATCAAAGCTTTTCTGAACAAAAATATTCATGATGATGCTGACAAAATATACTACATTTTATTAATTTTATGTGCATTCCTGTAAACTGTAAAGCACTACATAAATATACCAGAAGCAGGGAGGGAAGATGCTTGGTGGACAAGATGTCCCATTTGCAACAAGATTGTGTTTTCTGGCCGGGCGTGGTGGCTCACGCCTGTAATCCTAGTACTCTGGGAGGCTGAGGCGGGAGGATTGCTCAAGGTCAGGAGTTTGAAACCAGCCTGAGCAAGAGTGAAACCCCATCTCTGCTAAAAATAGAAAGAAATTAACTGGCCAACTAAAACTATATAGAAAAAATTAGCCGAGCATGGTGGCACATCCTTGTAATCCCGGATACTTGAAAGGCTGAGGCAGAAGGATTGCTTGAGCGCAGGAGTTTGAGGTTGCTGTGAGCTAGACTGACGCCATGGCACTCTAGCCTGGGCAACAGAGTGAGACTCTTTCTAAACAAAATAAATAAAAAATAAATAAATAAAAATAAAGAATGTCAAATTTAACCTGCGGTCCATGTATGGATTTCAGAAGGTTCATAAATTCCCTAAAAGAGCACACACACAATGAGTGTATTTGCATTTTTCTTGGAGAGACTCCATAACATTCATTAATTATCCAACAAGTCCATGACCATTACATGGTCAAAAACACTTACCCCAGAATTGCTGTACTTAAATAGAATGTGGGTCTTTGCAGGTATCTTCATAGAGTAGTGACTTCACATGTTTGAAAATAATAAAAGTACATTCAACATTTGAAAATGTAGAACATATAATATTAATATCTTACTAAGAAGGAAGCATGAACTAATAGTTAGATTAGGTTGGGATGTTATGCTCTTCATCAATGGTTTTTCAAGTCCATACATTTAAGGCAAAACTGTCATCTTAGCCCTTCCTGCTTTTCCCTGCTTTTATGTGCTCAGTTTCCAAGTCCTATTGGTTCTTCCTAGGGCCAGATTGAGATATGTGAGGGTCCTAGCAATCTCATACTGTCTATTCAACTGATATTGCTTAAGTGTTATTAAACATTTGTTAGTGTGTACATACATTATATGCATTTATAGATAATTTTTAGAAACCAGATAACACCTCGGGAGGCATATAAAAACATTTAAAGCTTAGATGAAATAAATCTCTCATTCCTAATGAACAGGATGACTTCATGTATTATTTGGTTCTAGAATTTTTGATTGTAATTGACTATTAAGTGCATGTGACCATCAGGTGCGTTGTCTTGGAATTAGCAGCCAGCCTCACAGTCATAATGTAAACTTGGCATGTGTTTATTGCAGAGATAACAGAATTAAGATTAGGCTGGTAAAGGCAAGAAATGTTTTAAAATTTGTCTCTAAGAAACCATCTCCTTTGATAAGAGCAATCCTAATATATATTTTGCCAGTTGTGGAAGAAACTGCTTGTAGAAACCTGGAGTAATTGACACAATAGTTCTAATTTTTTTCCAATGATGTTTTAGCAACTTTTTGTAGATTAAGGACATAGGCAGCTGCACTTCTGGTCTGCATCTACTTCAGAAGGCTCCCTCCCTCAAACAAATTCTCTCCTGTCTTTATTAGTCCTAGTGCTCTAGTTTAAGTCTTTGTTACTTGTGACTTGGATTATTATGATACTCACCTCTTTAAGCCCCTGTCTCCTCCAATCCACCATGCGTGTCACCAGGTGAACCTTACCATTAGTAAGATATTAGTTTTAGTATTAGTTATTGTATTTATAAACTTAGTTTATAATTGGTCTTTCCTTCCAGGTTGTGAGTTCTTTGTTTTTGTGGTTTTTTTTATTTTTATTTATTTATTTATTTATTTTTTTCTTCACGTCAGACGGGTAATGTGCTGATATCGTAACAAGGTTTGAGGGAGGCACATCTCACGCATGCGCGTGAAGACCCAATCATCACGCTTATGAACTACAAAAGGATCTGTTTTTTATTCATCTATATTTACCAAGGATCTGACACTATCCTTACTTTATGACAGATGCTTAAACTGTTGGCTGAATAAAGAATCGCTAAATCAATAAACCAATATTAAATAGTTGATATCTATTTTGAAAAATTAAGGAAACAATATTAAATAGTTGATATCTAACTTTGAAATGTTGGCACACATCTTCCCTACCCCTTCCTCTATCATGCAAACTAGTTTTTCTTTTTGTCTCACTAAAGCCACAGTCTTGGCTTTGTCTTATTCTCAATAGTCCAAAGTTAGAAACGGTAACCTAGAGATAGGAGGGCCTGGACAGCTGCCAGCCTGGGTAGAGAGAAAGTCATAATCAGGAAAAGTGCACTGGTTTGACTCAGATCGTCCACAAAATAAAAATCCACTTATAAGAAAGTGAAAATTAATTGCATGTTGTAAATTAATATTTTTTTGGTAAATTCTATAGCTTCTTATTTTGCTTTTGTGGGGGTGGGGTCTTAGTTATTCCTTATAACTGATAGCCCATATTTCGGACTATTAAAAATAACTGGCCTAGGGTAACACCAGTGGGATTGTCAGAATTCACAGGTTTATCTCTTAACTTTCCAAAGTGATATTTAGCCCAGCTTGCATTCCCCCATGTGAAAACCTACAATACTCATAGATTAGTACATAGAATATTTTCTGGAGTCTATATTACCGACCCCAGATTTAGAACTGCATCTTATTTTATAATATTTTATTTACAATATTATTTATAGTCTTTATACTATCTTAATTTATAATATCAATACAACCATTAATAGGAATAATACCTTAGAACATATTGATGTACATTTTTTCTCTTACTTTTCTGCCTTCATGACCTTTCTCCTTAGTCAGTTCAAGAGGCCAGTCTGCAGGAAGTTAGGGAATGGCAATTAGGACTGTTACACAGGAATGCAAAAAGAAAACAAAGAGTTAATATTCAGCTTGGGACATTTAAGATGAGATTTTACACAAAGACAATAATCTTGCAAGACAGGCTTTGTCAAGATAGAGGATTTTTCAAATTCCTTTATCTTCCACTTTGTATATCTAGATCCTGGCCTGAGGGAAAAGCACCACAGAATTTTAGGAAGGGAAAAGTGGAAGTGGCCTTTTGGTCGAGGGCATTGTGGAAAAAAAGGAGAGGGTCAGAGGTAGGGAGATAATGGGTTCCGATAGCCCTTCCTCCACCCAACCTGGTCAAGGCCACATCACATTAAAATTGATGGATGAATTTGGAGGCAGCCCTTTAACTTTCTTTAGCTAACTTTAGTTCCTGGATGGCTTGGGAAAGATCAGGGAGTTCCTGCAAAGCCCCTAAGAGAGGAAACGTCAGATAGCTGAGTTGGGAACTAGTGGTCTGTTCGTTGGGGCCTAGTATAGGAAAAGCGGTCAGAGCTGAGAAGTGGACCATCTGGGCCAGAACAGAAAGGAAGACAGAGTGAAAATGCAGAAGGATCTTCGTTATCAGTAACGCCACATTACACAGGGAGCTCCACTAGCCTCCGTCCAAGCTGAGAGACCCCCAGCTACAAATTACACTCACTGCGAACCTCACCCCAGGATGCTGTGAAGACAAGATGTGACCAGGAGGACGTGGGCATTGTGGCGGAGGTCAGAGGAAAGAGCACAATACAAGCACTCTGGTTTCCAAGGAAGCTTTTCCTTTGTGGCCACAAGGCCACAGCAAGCCACACCTTTCCTTTTTTTGGAGAGGAGCAAGGGAAGGGTAGAGAGGAAACCTGAGACTGGTTATTTTTAACCTATAGAGATGAAGATTTACTCTGTAAGTTATTACACCAGTCAACTGTATCAGGCAAAAATCGAAAGTTTATTTCGTACTACCCAGACAACAGAGGCTGGTGAGGAAAACCCAATCAGTTACGGAGAAAAATTAACATTTTCTCTGCCCATGCAAGTTGCAGTGTGAATGAAATTTACAGACCCACTACACATGTATAGTTATACTTTTAAAGTTTTATAGTATATTCACCTTCTGAGTAAGTGATTAAATTCTGAAAATAAATAAACACACTCTTTTATAAGATGACATAGAATACAGGGCTCACAAGGCACAAGGCAATAAGTGATAATTATGGTAGGTGCTAAAATCCCGTGCTTTAAGGACTTCAAGCTGGCCTCTATGAAGACAAGGATAGGCTTTTTCAACCTAAAGAATGTTTTGCTCACTTTGGGAAAGAGCAGATATTAATTCTTTCCATAGACACTATAAATAATCTTCCTTGAATTATTAAAACAAGACATACAATTCTCTAATTTGGGAAGTTTCAATCACTCCATTAAGTTGTTGATGGGTTTATAGATATTCATTAGGTGAGAACAAGATGAAATAGAATCATATTTTTTATTTCATATCAAGTCAATAAAATTTAAGAATTTATTACATGAACGGCACTGTTATAGGTGCTATGCAGAATCCAATAATAAAGATTCAACTTCTCTCTTAAAATAAAATAATAAAATTGATGCTGTAAGGCAGTAGACAATTACTGTTAAAGGAATGTTATGAATACAAAAAAGATGATAAAATTTCAGAGAAGGGGCCAGGCATAGGCCAGGCCTCGTGCCTATAATCCTAGCACTCTAGAAGCCAAGGTAGGAGGCTCGCTTAAGGTCAGTTTGAAAGCAGCCTGAGCAAGAGCAAGACTCATCCCTACCAAAAATAGAATAAATTAGCTGGGCATGGTGGTGTGTGCCTGTAGTCCCAGTTACTTGGGAAACTGAGACGGGAGGATCACGTGAGCCTAGGACTTTGAGGTTGCAGTGAGTTGTGATGACTCTCTATCACAGAGTAGAGTACAATGCAAAGATGCATTGTACTCTACCCAGGGCAATGCAGCAAGTCTCAAAAAAAAAAATAGAGTTCAGACAAGGAAATGCATTTTACCAATGAGTATATAGTCCTTTGCACTCAGTAAAGGCTCAATTAACATGTGTTATTGAATAAATAGATGAGTCTCACCTATGAAGTAGAGACAAGACTCTATGGATATGGTTGAATTTGAATAGGCTTTTGAAAGGTAGAAAGGATTTGGATATGAAAAATGAATGGGAAGGTCATTTGTAGGGAAAGAGGTATATTTTCAAGGGGTAGAAGCACAGGCTATGTTTGATGAACAACGATACAATTAGTTTAGAGTTGTGGCCAATACCAAGGAGCTTTGAATGTCAAGGGAATTTTCCTGGACTAGCTGACTTCAACTCTGGCCTGAGGAATTTGGACTATGCATTGCCAACACAGGAGTGTCATAGAGGCAATTGGGTGAGTGATGGGATCAAAATGGTGTTCCAGAACAATGCAACTACTCGCACAAACAGTATGAATTGGAGTAGAACGATGTGGATGGAGACCAATTAAAAGGCTGTTGCTCTAGTATGTTCATTTCCTTTTATTGATTGACCTTAAACTCCTTGAGGAGAGGAGTTCCATCTTTGTCTTTTCAACTCTTAACCGGACATCTTAGGTATTAAATATATGTTTATTTATTCCTGATCTTCGTTAGTGGTAGTAGGAATAGAAAGAAAGGGAATTAATTAATTTATTTACTAAGCAATCTCTAAGTAGGGGTGACTATATTCCTGGCACTGTATAAGAATTATTACAATGGCCGGGCCTGGTGGCTCATGCCTGTAATCCCAGCACTCTGGGAGGCCGAGGTGGGAGAATCGCTCAAGGTCAGGAGTTCTAGACCAGCCTGAGTAACAGCGAGACCCTGTCTCTACTAAAAATAGAAAAGAAATTACTTGGACAACTAAAAATATATAGAAAAAAATTGAGCCAGGCGTGGTGGTGCATGCCTGTAGTCCCAGCTACTCGGGAGGCTGAGGCAGAGGATTGCTTGAGCCCAGGAGTTTGAGGTTGCTGTGAGCTAGGCTGATGCCACGGCAACAGAGTAAGACTCTGTCTCAAAAAAAAAAAAAAAAAAGAAAAAGAATTATTACAAAAGATGGTCAACAGGAGTGAAGAATATTGAGGGTGGGAACAAAGGACACTTATGTTCCTGCACATTATGGACATCAAATGGGGTATATCTAGTAAAAAGTTTGTCACTTACCGTCTCTTTTAATCATTATAAACCTTGGTTTCCTAAACCATCCATCCTGGAGAAACAAACAAGGGTGTAGGCAACAATTTCACTGATAACAAATACAGTGCTTGGTTCAGATTCCATGTGCATCAGAGTCCTGGGACCCAGCAACTTGTCTAGACACGATGTTTTCTTATCTGGTTTGTCCCAAGTAACTTGCAAGTTCTAATTGGCTGCATTGGAGTTTTCTTGGTATTTTATCTCTCCCCCCAGCCCCGGCCCCTATGGCCACAGTTTGTTGATGCTGCTTCCGTCCCACAGTCTGCCCACTCTGCGACTCCTCCCACAACTTTCCCTGGGTTCTCTCTCCACCTGGACTATAATGACGTTACTAGACTCTGAAAAAGGATCACTACATTCTTCAACTTCTTTGTAATTTCTCTGGGCCTTTATAGAAAGGTATTTAAGTGGCATGGCAAAATCATATTCCAAAACATCCCTCAGCTCAGTAATCAGTCTTTGCCCTAGGTATGTAAAAATTTTTTTTTTTTTTGAGACAGAGTCTCACTTTGTTGCCCAGGCTACAGTGAGTGCCGTGGCGTCAGCCTAGCTCACAGCAACCTCAATCTCCTGGCTCAAGTGATCCTCCTGCCTCAGCCTCCCAAGTAGCTGGGACTACAGGCATGCACCACCATGCCCGGCTAATATTTTGTATATATATATTTTTAGTTGGTCAATTAATTTCTTTCTATTTTTAGTAGAGACGGGGTCTTGCTCAGGCTGGTTTTGAACTCCTGACCTCGAGCAATCCGCCCGCCTCGGCCTCCCAGAGTGCTAGGATTACAGGCGTGAGCCACCACGCCCGGCTAAAATTTTTTTCTCCTCTAAGTTTTCTACTCTCTATATGCTACATTTGTTGACTTCTTGTTTTTTGAAGATTCTTATATTTCACGCAAATTGGATATAATCAGATAAGTATTATAGGTTAGGTTCCCTTTTGGACTCGTGCTTAACAAGTTACTTAAATAAAACATTCCTAGAAATGGACAATATTTTTGTTGTTGTTTTTAGTTCTGAAGAAAAAAATATAATAATAAATGATTTACCTAACACAACCAAATGAGTAAGGTTATAAGCTTAACTACATTACCCTACTACTACCCCCTGCCCCCTAATTCTGAGCACAGTCCCTGGCAACACAGCTAAAGAACTGGCTCTCTGCAAGGGCGGAGAATATAATTTGTAGCATTTGCCAGTTCCCATGGTGTAAATTCTTCCAACAGGGCTAATTTAGCCACTTCCGGTAGGAGCGTTGACTCTAGCCGATAGCCACAGATAAACGTGCACAGCCCAGCGGCGACTGTAGCCAACTGTAGCCGACAGCCGTGATATGACCGAGCGTTGACTTTAGTCGACAGCCAAAAGCTTTTTACTTTTATAGCTTTCATTAGAATTAATTCTAATTTTTCATATATCAAAATAAAATTGTGAACATTTAAAAATAACATAATAAAAGCATATATGCATATGTTACCGATTCTGATTTACATTACAAGTAAAGCTGTCTGTAAAGGAAAATAAGTTTTCAGAGCTTTAAAGTTTTCCTCATCACACAAGAGCAAAACGGGCCATGAGTGCCGGCTGTGGGCAAGGTTTCGCTTCCGGTGAGCGCAGTACGGAAGTGGTTAAAACTGCCAGTGTGATGTCACTGAGTGTGGAACTGTGACGAGCTGTGCACAATCATCTCTTGCAAGCCTGTATGAGCCAGCTCCAGCGCACCTCTGCCTGGCACCTAGTGCGAGCAGTTTAGAGTTAATTTC